TCAAAATATCAAATGGAATCACAAAATACTACGTATGTACTTGTAATAAATTACAGTGCATATTGAAGATAAGAATATTTATTGAGTATAAATAGACGACTCTACCCTCAAGTGCGTAGCATGTACTATTATTACATCAATAACTAATTAATTATACATTATACAAAAGTATCAAATTTACATTCACTTGTTTAATAATTTCACGGGCAAAAACTCAAATGAAAAAACCCATGAAAATTCAAATAAATTCACGGGCAAAAATCCAAATGAGAAAACCCATGAAAATACAAGTCAATGTAAATAACTATGTTTTCCTCGATCTAAAACTCCTAACCAAATAATATACGGAATATGGAGTATATTTTTTAAAAAAGAAACAAGAAAACTCTTTTTTTTTTTTTTATTTTATTTATTTATTTATTTTTTTAAATCTGATTTACGGAGTAGCAGTTTTTTCCCTTTCTCCTTCACACATTTTTTTTTTCCTCTCATTTCATCCTATCTAATTAAACACACCAAAAATCATTTTTTTTTTTCGTTTTTGTTTTGTAAGAAAACAAAAATTAATTAAACTATCATCTCTCAAGAAAACCAGTCATTCTGAGGATGTTGTTCCTAGCTTCACACAAATTTTTGCCTTTCAAAGGACTAAATGACCTTGCCATTTCTTCATTGTCTCTTCTTTCCACAATCAAATGTGGAGGTAATCTCCTCATTAGATCATCATCATCATTGTCCTCGTCCTCGTCCTCATCGAACGGTTCGATACCGAACCGAAAAGAGCTCACTGCCGGTATATTAACCGGCATAGAAGAGCTTACCCTTGGTTTTTTTCTTATGACTTTTCATGCTCTTCATCATCATCCTTGGATGGTTCGCTTGACATATTCGTCTAAAATGCTTTAATCTCCGATCATCGCTCTCGTTTTCGTCGCTTGATTCCACACTTTCATCCGATGATGAGTACTCTGCGAACATCACCTCTGATTCTTTAAATTCATCAAAGAAGTCCATTTTTTTTGAGTTTTTGGGTTTTCTTGTAAAATGACACCTTTGTTGTAGAAAAGAAAATGAGGGGTTTTTTTGTTTATTGTCTTAAACAATAGTAATAGAAATGAGGATTAACTTTGAAAAGATTTTTTTGTTTTAGGTGAGAAAGAAAATAAGATTAGCTGTATTTTGATTTTTAGGATGAAGAAACCACTCCACATGTATATATAGATATTTGGATATTGAAGGAAAACGTAGGGAATAATGGAATATTACATAATTGAAAGCGTACAAAGCACTTTTTGTTGATTTATTATTATAAATTTATTATTCTTGATTTTAATGAAATTTTATTCGATTGAATTTGTCCATCTCGTAAAAAAAAAAAAAATGAATTTGTCTACGGCTTTGTTGGATTACAAACCTTCACAAACCACCTTTTTCTTAAGCTCCACGGCTTTGGTTTTGGAAGCTCTATAGTTGCTTATACAATTTCTTTAGGAATGGTATGATTCCATTTTACAATTTACATTTTTAGAAGTAAGTATTATCCTTTTTTTTATACCTTGACTTGGAATTTCATTTTATAGGGAATGGAAAAGATACAAGAAAAAGGTATATAAATTGTACTTCATAAGGGGTAAAATTGACCCCTAAAACCTTAACTAAATAATTATTAGCACATAAAAAATAATGACTCGCAAATTGAAACATTTCTTGATATGCATACGAGACATTTATGTTGTTTTATTTATTTATTATTTTTTTTTGCTAATTTCGAGATCAATTTGAACCCTTAAGACTTAAAATGACCCCCAAAATTTTATAGTTGAATAAATTTTTACTTGCACATCGATACATTAGACATACTAGTGAGAAGACAAAATAAATAAATTAAGGGTATATCAATAAGAAATGCCAATACCAACCGAGGTTTACCAATGATATACAGATTAAAGGTGATTAAACGTTTACTTAACGGATTAGTCACAATAGTTAATTAGTCTAAAATACATGTGTGCCGCTGATAAATACTCCATCCATCCCCGATTGATAGTCACTTTTGCCATTTTTGGTGAATAAAATATATATATATATATATATATATATATATATATATATATATATATATATATATATTACCAAAATTCTCTAACATTTGCAAAAATATTTGTGCAAATTTAACTTTCTCATGTACTTTATTTACTTTCTCTCTCTATTTTTTTGCATACCCAATGTAAATTTACCTTTTTAATGTACTTTCTTTATTTCTCCTTAATTCCCGTGATTTTTTAGCAAAAGTGGCTATCAATTGGGGACGGATGGAGTATAATCAGAGAGGGTGTACCATTGACAAAAGCCAAAACCAATAGTATACTAATGATAATTATCCAAAAAAAATTCCCCACAAAGGTTTGACCAAAATTGTCATTGGTATCATATAACTACTCCGTAATATATAAAGCTAAACTTTTGATCAGGTCACAAGATAGCGACACTTAGCATTTCAACTTTTTGCCAAGTGTCACGCCACGTTGGATAGAGTTAAATAGACTTTATAAGATAAAAAAGTTACTTTACAATTCTATTTGGATAGAATTTTAGGATAAAATTTTTAGTTTAGAATTTTTATTTTCGATAAAATACCAATATTTCAGATGTACAAATTGAATTATAATTATTAGATTATAATTCTAAAAAATTATCATATAAATTTATCATTTTTTATGTCATAATATTTTTTGGAGCGGAGGAATTAGTTTAAAGCATAAAACATCCATTTATATAACATATACTAATCGGTTAAAATAATAATATAATAGAATTTTATTACAATGTAGACCTGTCAATTAGAGTCTGGTCATAAGTCATCTTCGATTGGTTCATTTCAGATTATGAATCAAGAAATGTTCAACACTTCAACCCTTACGCAAAGTTTTGGGCTCGGGTCAACCCATTGGGGGCTTAAACATTTATTTTATTTAATTTATTTTTTGCTATTTTTTTGTTATTTTTTTCAATGTATCAAATCGAATATTTCCACCAACATTATTATTAGTCATTGCATGCCTACTAGATAGCAAACCGTCACAAAATTAAAGCACATCAATTCCTAACTAATAATTTTGTATCAATGATATATTGTAAAGTTTGACATTTAGATTAAAAATTTATCTTAAAATTTATTCAACCTTGGTATCGCACGGGACACAAAACTAGTTAACTATAAGAGATTGAACTCAAATCAACACAATTAAATAATTACCTTTAATTATATAATTAAATATGTCCTTATATCCAATCGTTAGAACTAAAAGTATAGGATATTTAAAATTAAAATTGCATTGTTAAATATTGGGAAAAAAAATAAATTTTTGCTTAAATTATACTAATACCAATAATTTTTAATTTAGTTCTACCCTTTTTTTTTCCAAACAATCTCTTCAATAAAATAAAATTGTTGTATGAAAGTCCTAACAGAATCAATCTAAATATTTGCTTAATTGGCCAAACAAATTGACCATCCTTAATTATTTTTAAATATAAAATATTAAATATAAAATCTCTTAATAATTATTTCTACCATCTTTAATTTCTCCCTTGTGACTTTTTATTTTATTTTTTTACATATGCTTAATTAACTTTAAGAATTACACAACATGAAGTAAGTTGGGTAACCCTTGAGACTTGAGTGAACATGGAGATTTTTTTTCTTTTTATGATTTATTTTGTATTTTATTGAGGGGAGATGAACAGAAGATAAAGGACAAGTAATTTAAAATTTTAATTTGACTTGGGTAATTGGTCTGCATCGCCTTATCAAAGTTATCACATAACGGAATCTAATATAGTCTCTATGACTACAATACTTGTTTAATCCCTTTGAATAAAATAATAGAACAACCATTAAAAAAAAAAAGGGTTGAAGCAAGTTGAGTTCATTTCTTAATTTCAGGCCCTTGCTAAATAGCAGGAACAATACTGAAGGCATTTGATGTTGACTTTCTTGTTTGGTAGGTGAACTCTAACACTATATGAAGTATTACAACTTTACAAGTTTACAATCTCATATAGTGTTATTACTGTTATAACTTGTATTTATTTACTTAATTTTCTCATTATTCAGTTAAATAAAGCTTTTAATAGGTAGATCTTTTTTATAATGAAGCGCAAGTCAGAATGATCTAACTATTAAATTCAAATACAGAGTTAGTTATATCTTAATGACGGTGAGTTTCAATTTGAATTGCTTTGTTATTATAAAGATGTCATTATTGGAGTTCAAATATGGATGAAGAGATAAGGATGGATTGATCTCATTGATGAAAATGAATGGCAATTGAAATACATTCTATTATAACTGTTTTTTTTTTTTTTTTTTTTTTTATTATTATTATTTTTTTGCTCAATTAGCTTTACAATAATTTTATTGATAAAGAGGACCAGTGATTAATATAATGCCAATGACTATATTAAACACAAGAAACGATTAAAAAAAACATCAATTGACATGAACCAATATATAATTCAAACTTGGACTTGGATGTAATAAAAAAAAATTACCCACTTTTTTTTTTTTTTTTTTTTTAAAAGGGAACCCTTACTAATATGGTATATTAGGACCCTTCTCGATCTTAAGGGCGCAACATTTATGTATTATTACATTAAAACTATACATTATACAAAAGTATCAAATTTACATTAGTTTGTTCAGAAACTTCACAGGCAAAAACCTAAATGAGAAAACCCATGAAGATACAACTCAATGTAATTAACATTTCTTTCCGTCTATCTAAAACTCCCAATCAAATAATATACGGAATATGGAGTATAATTTTAAAAATATGGTGGTTAACTCTTGCCAGAAGGAATCTGATTTTTTAAATCATTTTTTTCCTCCTTTTATCCTTCACACATTTTTATTTCTCTTTTTTTTTTCTATCCTATCAAATTATTAAACACATCCAAAATCATCATTTTTTGTAAGAAAACAAAAATTAATTAAACTATCATCTCTCAAGAAATCCAGTCATTCTGAGGATGTTGTTCCTAGCTTCACACAAATTTTTCCCTTTTAAAGGACTAAATGACCTTGCCATTTCTTCATTGTCCCTTCTTTCCACAATCAAATGTGGAGGCAATCTCCTCATTAGATCATCTTCATCATCATTGTCCTTGTCATTCTCATCGAGTGGTTCGATACCGAACCGAAAAGAGCTCATTGCCGGGATATTAACCGGCATAGAAGAGCTTATTCTTGGTTTTTTCTTATGACACTTTATGCTCTTCAACATCATCCTTGGATGGTTTGATTGATTGTAATAATGCTTCCATCTTCGATCATCGCCGCTTTCGGTCTCGTCGCTTGTTTCAACACTTTCATCCGATGATGAGTAGTCTGAGAACATCACCTCTGATTCTTCAAATTCATCAAAGAAGTCCATTTTTTTTTTTTTTTTTTTTTTTTTGAGTTTTTGGGTTTCTTGTTAAATGACACCTTTGTTGTAGAAAAAGTAAAGGTATGAAATTGAGGATTAAATTTGAAATAAAAAATTTTTATGTTTTTGATGAGAAAGAAAATAAAATGAGTATGTCTTTAGATTTTTGTAGGTGAATGAAAATGTAGGGAATATATATAGATATTTGGATGTTGAATGAAAATGTAGGGAATATTTGAAAGCGTATTAAGCACTTTTTAATGATTTTATTAATTTATTTATATTGATATTTTATTTGATTGAATTTGTCTACGGCATTGTTGGATTATAAACCTTCACAACCAACTTTTTCTTTAGCACCACGGCTTTATTATCTACTTGGAAGCTAGCTCTACAGTGCTTAAACAATTTCTTTTGGAATGATATGATTCCATTTTACATTTTTGGAAATTAGTATTATCCGTTTTTTATTCCTTGACTTGGAATCTTATTTCTAGGAAGTAAGCAACTGGGAATTTGGAAATGGAAAAACTTTTCAAACAATATATGTTAAAGTATAAACAATATAAACTTTTCAAACAATATAAACTTTTCTTGAAATCCATTTTACAAGAGAAAATATATACTTGTATTAGTTAAGTATAAATTTTTCAAACAACTAGTTGAGCCATCGCGCGCCACGCGCGCGATAGCCCAATAAACACAGATTATTTGTGAGTAATGATATTGTTAAATAGATGGGATACACTGATGTAATTTAGTTTGTGTGGAGTAGGAATTTGTCTAATCTGGTTCTAAAATGTAGGAAGTAATAGTGTGTTCATTGGGTATTTTTTTGGGTTCTGAGCAGTGGAAATTATAATTGTTATTCTAGTCTATGATATGAAATTATAATTGTTATTCTAGTCTGTTTCTTTTTTAGCGTCTAATATGCAAAAGAATAATTTGGGTAAGGTAGCTTATGGTTTTGGTGCTAAAATGCTAAGAACTCTGTGTTATTTTTTCATAATAACTAACATGTATGCGTATACCGAAACAAATTTTTCATCGCAAGCAGATATATTTAATCTTCTATCAACAAGAAATTATAAAAATTAATAATGTATTTATCGAGACGGATTAAATAGGATTCCTTACGAAGATACGTAGCATTTTTTTCTATATATAACTTATTTAAAATTTCTGCGCTTTTAAAATCTATTAGAATAAATTTTATACTGAAATTATAACTAACACACGTGTGTGTCGATATTGTGTACGTAAGGAATGCTACGAATTCTGAGCTGCTATTTTTAGAATTGTAACTGTATGTACATATATATCAATCTAAAGAAGTTGAAAAGTTGTACTTGATATAAAAATTATGTAAAGAAGTTGAAAAGCTGTACTTTGTAAGTATAAGTTCTTTTATTCTTTCTAGATTTTGTCATGATTGTTGGACTTCCTCTTGTTGGTCAGTTGAAAGCTTTCTTTTGTGTGGTGTATAAATTGCGCCCTGCTCTGCTGTCTTGTCTTTCATTTTCCTGTTTTCTTTTCTTTTTTTTTTGTTTCATCTTTCCTTCTTCTCTGTGTTTTTGTGTTTTGACAAGGGTTAAATCGGTCGCTACAATCTAACTCTCAATCAAACAATACTTATACGAACACCCTATAACCAAGTACAATGGCAAATAAAGGTTCGGTCCACGAGGAACGAGAGTAATTGCAAATCAATCTTAAACCTAAGCTAGTTCGAAATCAATGGAAAATGGTGTTCTAAAATACTACTAATAAGATGGAATAAATCAATAAACTAAGACACTAGGGAGAACGGGAATCCGCCTAACCATTGGTAACTAAGCAACAAGGAATCACAGAGACAAACGGGATATGAAAAGACTATAAGTCTGATCAATATCATGTGATAGGAAGACAACGGGCAATATTAAGCTTGGATTTCTCATGCACTTAACATTACTCGATACATAATCAAACCACATTCAATAATGAAATACTCAATTCACAATCTCTTGTTCAAATCAAGAATATCATGCAATCAAATTCAAGATTCTAGGTTAGCTACTCCTATTATAATGAATTAACATGCAATCGCATATAATCAATTTAATCACAATCCGTTTATCAAAATCAATCCTCAATTACATAGATTACCTAGGCCGGGTTTCATCCCGAAACCCTAGCTAGGAGACTACTCACACATATTCATAATCAAAGCAATAATGAATTCCAAAAGCATAATAGATATAAACATGAATTCTGATTAAGGAATAATAAAGCTTGATTAATAAACAAGAATGAATAATACCAATTGTTTTGATGCGAATCAATGGAAAATTTCAGAACTTTGATATCCGTCGTCAATGAATAATACAAAGAATCTTCGCAAATCTTGCTTCAAATCAATCCAAGAAAACTAAAATCTCTAGAAATATCTCTAAGAAAACTAATGAATCTCTAATACTAAGAACGTTCTCCAATAACTCTCTACAAAGGCTCTCAAAACTATCTCTAAAACTGTATATGGAATCCTCTTAAAGTTGGGCCTTATATACGTCTTCTAATGCGGAGAAGTCAAGCGCGCAGTTAACCCTGGATCAGCACGGCCGTGCTGTATTTGGCACGGCCGTGCTAGCTTGTCAGTAGGTAAACCGGATTTCTTCTTCAAATTGGCACGGCCGTGCTATATATGGCACGGCCGTGCTAAAAATGACACGGCCGTGCTGAATATGCTCTAGCACGGGGCTCATACTGAAGCTGACACGGGCACGGGCAACATCTGGCACGGCCGTGCTAATGGCCTGCACGGCCGTGCGGGTGCGTGGATACTGACACAACCGTGCTATTGGCTTGCACGGCCGTGCTACGTTGCCTGGGTTTGCTTGCTTATAGGCCAGCACGGGTGTGCCTATGGTAACACGGCCGTGCTGCCTGTGCTATGTAATCAATGCACGGCACTTGAACTTCCTTAACTCCTCGGACTTCGGTCAAGGCTAGCTCGGTTACGCATCAAGGGCTCGGGATCCGATTAAACTCGGTTGATATTACCTGAAAACACAGCAAAAACAAACCGAAAACCCGTGAAGCACGTAATATGGGGAAGGTAAGCATAACAAGGTAATAATCGGCCAAAGCGGCTCCAAATACATCCAAAATCATCCTAAAATATGCTCTAAAGCGCGCCTGTCAAAACCCCCCAAGCTACACTTTTGCTAGTCCTCGAGCAAAAACCAAGGGAAACACACACAAGATCAAATAAACTATGCCATTGCGAACAAATCAAATTAAGCACGGAATGAAATCAATGGATCCTACTTAGAACAACCATGCACGGAAGGAAAACTCACTCAAACAAGCAACGAGACACACAATCCAAGATATCGTTGATCAAAATGCAAACAAAACCTAAACCAAGCATAGAGAACAAAGAAGTCATGCTTCCCTCTAAACCCAACCAAACCGGCCACGTCCTCCCCTTTTGCTTCAAATCACCACCCTAATTGGCCCCTTGTGATTCCTCGAAGGAACCGGAAAAAGTGATATTTTGAGGAAATAACAAAGGTATCCCGACATCTCGATTACGCATAATCTTTCCATAGGGTTGAAAGGTATCTCCCTCCACCGTTTGAGAACCGAACACCTCTAAAGTCTAAGGGTCTTAAAGGGTTGTAATGTATTGGCAATGGGTAAGGTAGGTGAAAACAATTTAAAAAATGGGGTTAATTCCTAAATGAAGCGCAAGAATCACAATTCTCAAAAACAATAGTTCAAAAGATGCAATTCACATTCCACAATAAACATTGATCACACTTTTACACATCCCAAACTCTCTATGTTATACACACTCAAATCACCTTTTTCAAACTTCAAAGCTTTTATTCATATGTCCTCGCCTTTTTCACAATTCGGACGGCTTTTCTCTTTTTTTTTTTGATTTTCTTTTCTTTTTTTTCTTTTTTTTTTCAAAAACAAATTTTCATATTACATCTTTACAATTAAGCTCACTTTCAAACTTGCTCAAACCAACTATCGATCATTATTCTTGATTTATACACAATAAGCTCAAACAAACCTTGCGAGGTAAACGCTTCACAACTAAGGGTTGGTAAAACATCGGCCATCGGGTTTGTAACATGGGTAACCAAGAATGGAATTAAAGGCTCAACATGGTTAGCAAGTAAGATGATGTAAAAAGAAAATTAATTTGTAACAAAACAAAAGGAACAAGAATAAGAAAAATGAAAAAGGTGCCCTCTTCCTCCCTTAAAAGTGTCAAGTCGGTCTTGGGAGCTACCAGTCAACACAAAGATCGAAACATGCGTAATCAAGGATCCAAATATGCCACTCAAGAAGAATGATGAAGGCTAGAACAATAAAACCTCACGGGATTCAAAAACAAAGCAACTACCAATTAAGGGGATCAAATCCACAAATGGGAAGCGACTCCATCTTACCACATCCCAAAGGCATAGAGTTTCACATGACAAAAGTGTTCTAACCAACTACCTTCGCCTAGACTCGTCTACATTGATCAACAATAGACTCAAACTGTGTATTCATCACTGGCTTAAGTAGAAATAGATATTCCACACACATTCATTCACGTTTCGAATCCAAATATGAGCATTATTCCAAAAGTTTATGCAATTAGACAAGTTTATCACGATCCAAAAATATAGGAAAAGACTATGAGGAAAATCATATAAACTAGACTACACATTCTCATAACAGAAGCTTTTCCTATATTGCACACAAAAACAAAAAAACTAAAGGAAAAAGGGAAAGATTTCACCAAATGCTTCTTGAAAACACACTAAGACAACATGAGATGCGGCGAAGCTCCTAATGCTACCTCCATGAGTCTTCATATCTACACAGGTTAGATAGAAACAAACCAAAACGAAACCAAAAGAAACTCGTTTTTTTTATTTTTTTTATAAGAATATGAAGAAAAACAAGGGAAAATCAACAAGGAAACCATTCACCAAAAATAAGGGAAAATCAACAAGGAAACCATTCACCCCCCCCCAAGCTAGTATAGACATTGTCCTCAATGTCAGGCATCGAGAGACTACCTAGAAGGCAAAAAGGGAAAGAGAAAAGTACCTCATTGACTGGGTCTCGGGTTGCCTCCCGGAAGCGCTTCTTTAACGTCATTAGCTTGACGCAACACATGGATTACAGGTTACCCATAATCAATACTTGTCATTGCAGTGGAGATAAGCTCACCATTCTTATTCTTGACAATAGTCACCGCCCCTTTCTTAGGTACTACAAACACAGGGGAAACCCTTCCTTGATGTGTTGGAAGGGGTTTAAGCTTTACCTTTGGTGCTTCATTAGCCTCCTTTGCAGTGGCCACATCTAATGCATCTAGAAATTGCTCCTCCATGTCCCTGTTTTCCTTGTTCTCATTCAACTCAAAATCATGATTAGTATAGAATAATTCGTTACGCATATCAGAGACAATGGAATCAACAGTGTCAACCATCATGCAATTATCAGAATTAGAACAAGGATATGTCATAGTTTTATTTAAATCAAAATCTAAAACCTCCTTTCCTACTTTCAATTAAATCTTGGCACCCTTTACATCAATAAGGGCCCCCGAAGTAGCTAGGAAAGGACGTCCTAGAATTATAGGTATATGAACATCCTCATCCATATCTAGGACCACAAAGTCAACAGGTATGACAAACTTCCCCACCCTTAGGGGAACATCTTCCACTTTACCCTTTGGAAATTTGATCGATCGATCGGCTAATTGAAGGGATATGTTAGTGGGAAGAAGTTCTCCTATATTTAATCGTTGATAAACAGAATATGGCATGAGACTAACACTAGCTCCAAGATCACACAAAGCATTATCAATATTCATTTTGTTTATAGCACAAGGTATTGAAAAGCTACCCGGATCTCCTAACTTAGGAGGCATTTTGTTCATTATTATAGCACTACAGTGTTCAGTGAGGTTAACAGTTTCTACCCCTTCACAGTTTCTTCTACCACTCAATATATCTTTTAAAAACCTAGCATAGTTAGGCATTTGCTTGATAGCATCAGTGAATGGTATAGAAAGGTGGACTTCTCTCAAGGTCTCTAAAAACTTCCCGAATTGGGCATCTAGATTATTTCTCACATATTTTTGGGGGTAGGGGAGTCTATGTAATAGGTCGGGTTCATTGGTTTGTGCTCCCACCTGTTCCTTTGGGACCTCATTAATTTTATCTTTTTCTCTGGTCCTCTTATCCTCACTTCCTACAACATTATCAGTGATAGGTGGAGTCACAGGTTGACTCCTAGGGGGTACTACTTCATCGCTCCCCCTCAATGTCTTTCCACTCCTAGTGGTGATAGCATTTACAGAGTTTTTAGGGTCAATACCTTGAGGCGGTAGTTTTGAAACTCCAACCCCATCTTTTATAGCACTAGCCAACTGAGAAATCTGGGTTTCAAGCATCTTATTATGTGTCATCACTTCACTAAACTTTTTATCAGTGGTGGACATAAAAGTGTTGAACATTTTGGCCTGGGACTCCATCATTTCCTCCAAGCTAGATCTCTGTGGTGGTCCATGAGCATAATAATTATCATTTGTAGCTCGGGAACCACGCACATTAGATTGTTGGGGATTTTGATTAGAGTACCCCTTATTATTATTCCAGTTTCCCCTGTTATTAATGCCGTTTCCCCCTTGATTGAATTGCCCTTGGGAATTATGATTCATTTGATTACCCTATTGGTATTGGTTTTGATTTCCAAAACCACCATGTTGATTATAGGGTCCTTGGGAATTTTGGTCCCTTTGGCCCCTATTTCCCCACTGGTTTTGATAATCAAAATCATTACCTCCCTGATTATAATTGTTCCCTCTTTGATTAGGTGGCAGATATCTATTATTGTCATTCCTAGGTCCGTTATCATAAGACATAGCATTGACCTGTTCATTATTATATCTATTACCATCATTATTATTAGGATCATATGAGGGATCAAAATTACAAGCATTAGTATAATGATCATAAGACCCACAGTTTTCACAGAAAATACATCCTACAGGCATATTAGAAACAGAAGGATTAGGATTCATACCTCTCCCCTTAGATTGGGAGGGAAGATCTTGCAATGGCACGGAATCGAGCTTGGCTTTAATCACTGACATCTCCTTCCCGAGGTTCGTAATTTGTGATGTCAGGTTGCTAATGGCATTGAGGTGGTCCACTGAATAGACCGCTCCTCCACTCTTGTTCACAGCATCTCGCTCGCCGTCTTGCCAATCCATGTGGTGTCGTACCACATCTTCGATAATATCTATGACTTGCTCTTCAGTTTTGTTCATTATTGGGCCACCTGCTCCCGCATCCAAAATGGTCTTCCCTCGAGGACTCAATCCTCCATAGAAAATCTGTAAAACTTGATATGTTGGGATTCCGTGGTGTGGGCACTCTCTTTGGTACTCCTTGTACCTTTCCCATGCTTCATAGATCGACTCCCCACTCCTTTGCCGAAACCCTTGAATCAAGGCTCTAGCATCGGCCGTCTACTTTTGAGAATAGAATCTTCCCAAAAATGCTGTCGTGACATCATCCCAAGTGTGTAGAGAGTTCGACTTCACCTCCTTCTCTAACCATTCGAGAGCTCTCCCAATAAGTGAAAAGGGGAAAAGCTTCAATCTCACGAACTCTTGATTCACCCCATTAACCTTGATGGTATTGCAGTACTTCTCAAATTCGTTCGAATGAGCCAAAGGGCTCTCATGCTTGGCACCACTAAACTGCCTTCTCTCGATGAGGGTGATCATAGCTGGCCGGATCTCGAAATCATTGGCCTCAGTAGTGGGTGGAGCAATCCCACTTGAAGCTCTATACGCCCCAGGAGTTCCCAACTCCTTAAGGGGTCGTGGTGCTGGCCGATTAGGTTGGCGCGGTATGTCTTCCATTGGAACCTGTTGTGTGTTGTGTTCCTTTCCTTGAGAGTTTGATGACGTCAATCGAGATTTACGATTGCTCTTCAAAGTTCTTTCGATTTCTGGATCGAAGGGTATTAATTCTCTCTGTTTAGACCTGCGCATACACACTAACCAAACCAATTAAATAGCAGGGCTACAAGTGTAGCCAAAAGGGAAAAATCTTTTTGTGCTTTTTTATGATGAACTAGACTCAAGAAATCAAAAAGCAATTAACAAACACCGCTCCCCGGCAACGGCGCCATTTTGACAAGGGTTAAATCGGTCGCTACAATCTAACTCTCAATCAAACAATACTTATACGAACACCCTATAACCAAGTACAATGGCAAATAAAGGTTCGGTCCACGAGGAACGAGAGTAATTGCAAATCAATCTTAAACCTAAGCTAGTTCGAAATCAATGGAAAATGGTGTTCTAAAATACTACTAATAAGATGGAATAAATCAATAAACTAAGACACTAGGGAGAACGGGAATCCGCCTAACCATTGGTAACTAAGCAACAAGGAATCACAAAGACAAACGGGATATGCAAAGACTATAAGTCTGATCAATATCATGTGATAGGAAGACAACGGGCAATACTAAGCTTGGATTTCTCATGCACTTAACATTACTCGATACATAATCAAACCACATTCAATAATGAAATACTCAATTCACAATCTCTTGTTCAAATCAAGAATATCATGCAATCAAATTCAAGATTCTAGGTTAGCTACTCCTATTATAATGAATTAACATGCAATCGCATATAATCAATTTAATCACAATCCGTTTATCAAAATCAATCCTCAATTACATAGATTACCTAGGCCGGGTTTCATCCCGAAACCCTAGCTAGGAGACTACTCACACATATTCATAATCAAAGCAATAATGAATTCCAAAAGCATAATAGATATAAACATGAATTCTGATTAAGGAATAATAAAGCTTGATTAATAAACAAGAATGAATAATACCAATTGTTTTGATGCGAATCAATGGAAAAGTTCAGAACTTTGATATCCGTCGTCAATGAATAATACAAAGAATCTTCGCAAATCTTGCTTCAAATCAATCCAAGAAAACTAAAATCTCTAGAAATATCTCTAAGAAAACTAATGAATCTCTAATACTAAGAACGTTCTCCAATAACTCTCTACAAAGGCTCTCAAAACTATCTCTAAAACTGTATATGGAATCCTCTTAAAGTTGGGCCTTATATACGTCTTCTAATGCGGAGAAGTCAAGCGCGCAGTTAACCCTGGATCAGCACGGCCGTGCTGTATTTGGCACGGCCGTGCTAGCTTGTCAGTAAGTAAACCGGATTTCTTCTTCAAATTGGCACGGCCGTGCTATATATGGCACGGCCGTGCTAAAAATGACACGGCCGTGCTGAATATGCGCTAGCACGGGGCTCATACTGAAGCTGACACGGGCACGGGCAACATCTGGCACGACCGTGCTAATGGCCTGCACGGCCGTGCGGGTGCGTGGATACTGACACGACCGTGCTATTGGCTTGCACGGCCGTGCTGCCTTGCCTGGGGTTGCTTGCTTATAGGCCAGCACGGGTGTGCCTATGGTAACACGGCCGTGCTGCCTGTGCTATGTAATCAATGCACGGCACTTGAACTTCCTTAACTCCTCGGACTTCGGTCAAGGCTAGCTCGGTTACACATCAAGGGCTCGGGATCCGATTAAACTCTGTTGATATTACCTGAAAACACATCAAAAACAAACCGAAAACCCGTGAAGCACGTAATATGGGGAACGTAAGCATAACAAGGTAATAATCGGCCAAAGCGGCCCCAAATACATCCAAAATCATCCTAAAATATGCTCTAAAGCGCGCCCTAAAGTGCGCTTGTCATGTTTGCATCTTACCAACAACAATGGCTAGCACCGATAGCACGGCTACTTCTGGGACAATATTTGCACCTCCAATCTGGAAGCCAAATCAGGCTAGGTCGCAAGAGCAAAATGTTGCAAGTTTTCGAGTCTATGCTATGAGTATGACAATGAAGATGGACAGTCATCTGAAATTGTTAGAACAAGGAATGTCAAAAGCGGAGAGTACTAAAGAAAAAGGATAAGCGAGCCACAAGCGGAAGCGAGGAACTGTGAAGGAGGACTGTGGAGAATGTCCTGTGATCATTGTTGAGTCAGACAGTGATGAAGCTAAAAAGAAAAGCAAGAAAGGTGATGAGACAAAAGATCAGGGAGTGGAAAGTAAGGGAAAAGCTGAGACCAAGGAAGATGTCGAGAAGGAAGCAGCAGAGCCAAAAGAAGGAGGCGAAGAATCTGAAGAAGACGAAGATGAATCTGAAGAAGATGAGGAGACTGATAAAGATGGGGAAAGTGATGTGGATTCTGATTCTAAGAGTGAGAGGATGGAAAAACTGGTTGCAGACCCAGAGGATGCGGATGATGAATCTAAGAGCACTGATGATGGTGATAGTGGTTCGGCCTCTGATTCTGGGAATTGTGTGGAAGGAAATCGCGAAACAAGCGAAGACTCTTCTATGTTACGCATGAAAATTTCTGATTAAAATGCCTAATGTGAAAGCTTGTGTGTAGGAGTTGGGTTTTGCTTATTCTGGGAAGGTTGTTTATGGGTAAACATTTTAAAATGTTAGGATTATTTTAGAGCTTTATTGGTTTTTTTTGGTATATTGTTAATGCTATGAATGTGTGTTCTGATGAAGGCTTTGTATATATAATTATGGGGTAATGGTATGAGAAATGGATCTTATTTCTATCTTTTTTCTTGCATTAATGTTTTAGTTTGTATTTTTTGTTGGTAGTATAATTTTGATCGTAGGTTATATTTGCTTTTGAGTAACACCTTTATTTTATGTGTTTAAGCACAAAAATCAATTACTCTGATATACAGTTCATAATTTTCTTAAATTAGTCTATGGTTAAGCAAGATAAAAGAACTCATCTATAACTATTGTGATAAAATTACAGGATAAAATCTAATCAGAGCATGTATGCCATCATTTTTGTTTCTACCTATACAATCCAGACATGTTTTAAAAATAAATAAAAATAAAATGATACAAACAATAAATTACTCAAATAGAGTACTTAAGTATCTGAATCTTAAAATTGATGTAAACTCTGTAGGGTATAAGTAGGAGGCTATTCTGGATTCTTATAAGAATGTGTAATGCTGTAAGCTATGCAATTATGCCAATATAGGGAAGGTGAGATAATTGTGATGAAGCGGTATAACTTATTAGGTTTGCTTTTAAAGTATTGCACGATAAGCTATATATAAGCATTTGGATTACTAAACCATAACAATCATTTATATTAGCTTGATATCGTAAAGACAAGCTACTGATTACAGCCATAGGAACATAAAGCTAAGCTTTTGTTTTTTTTAATTACAATATTGGCTGGTAGACTATAATCAAGCATTTAGATAACATAAGACTATTTTTTCTAGAAGTAGTGTTACATAGGAACATGTAATCTAAGCTACCTGTTCCTATATAAAACCAAAATGTCTGATTAGATTTCTATTTAGCTCTAGGGAATCAGACAACAAAATTTAGGCTGAATACACTATTAACGGTGTTGTCTAGGAACATAAATTTCTATAAGTTCTGTTCCTTTCCAAGACCACAACCTATAAAAGCCTTCACTATAATTGATATGGGTTACATATGTGATGTTATTGTGGGACAAGTAATCTAAGGATACCTGTCTTTCATAACATCTACATAATACAAAATATTTAGTTATAAGGCATAATCCTAATAAAGATGCACATACCATAATACTAATACTTGAAGCTGCTATCCAACTGATCTGTCACACAGACTTTCTTGTTCTTTTTCATTCAAAAAGGTCATCAGAATCATCATCTTCAAACTTGAGTGCCCTGCGCTTGTTATCTTTCTCTTTTTTAACAGGTGGCTTTGTTTCAGCAACAACAATTTCTGTGTTAAAAGCCACACCCTTTCCTTTAAGTGCTGCATGATTTTCTGGATCTTTTTCTTTTTCTGTCATGATCTTCTTGCCTTGTATTGTTGACTCTATTTCAGATTCAATGGCATCCTTCACTGGTGTTGCAGTTTCAGATTCATTAATAGCACTGAGTCTTTTCCTTTTTGATCTAGACTCTCCTGTGCTTGACTGAGCTGCTTTTTGTGCTGCAGCCATCAATTCAGCTAATAAGCAAGCATCTTCCTCTTCCTGGCTAAAGATTGATAAGTCATAAGCATGAACTGTTTCTTTTTTTTATGGTCTTGCTTAGGAGCTGGCTGTCTTTGGCTGCATCTGGATTGCCTTCTTTAACTGTACCATGTTCTGTATCAGTTGGTGCTTCTGCATGTTTACAAGCAGATTTTTCAGAGCTGCTTCTTGCAGCATTAGGTGTTATGGTGTCTTCCATCTCCACACCTTTTATACCCCATTGCAGCACTTAGTTCTGTTCCAGAGCAGTTGTTGGGCTGATCTTGAGTAGGAAGTAGGTGTTTCTCAGCTTATTGGCTATCTGACCAAACTTGGTTGTGTCATCCTATAGTATACATGGATTGATACTTAGTCTTTGATGTATGAGGTTAAAGAAATTAAGGATTTATGATCTGTGGTACTAACTACTAAATGTAAGCTGTGGAATATTTACCAGTGCCTTCATGTGATAGATATCTGCAGCTGACATGCCAAGCAGTGGCACAGAATTTTCAGTAAACGCGGTAAGCTGAAGTGCTCCAGTTCCATCCGAAGCAGTAAAAGTGATAGTTGCTCTGCAAAAATGGTAGTTTAGTGTGAGTTTTCAAATTTTTGTTGGCAACATATCATTGTAGACACTTAATCTAATCCATGAGTGTGTTGGGTACCTATAAGTAGCAGATACTTCATTTATCTCACAAGCTATGCAACCATAGACTGCTCCTAAAGGCAACTGTGTTCGCTTTCCACAGTAAGAACATCCTATGTATGTTCTAATCCTGTCATACTGAATATCAGATGCCGTAACTCTAAGCCAATAAAATTCCTGTGGAAGTGTCTTTGCCGCCTGCATTATGAAACAGATATCATGAAAATGAAACCGAAACATGTTATTGTTATCAACAGAAGACGAAGAAGGCTGTGAAACAGCAGCACACAACTCTTGTATAGTAGCATTTACCTTCTTGGTCTTGATGTGGGCAATTGTTGTTAGGATTCTTTCTGCTGGTGGATTCCAAGCAGCTGTAACTCTATTTTGATGCTCGATTAAAACACTTTGATGCTTTCTTTCCCTGTTACCAAGGAATATAATGTGCATTAGTGTCAAAGAATCTAACTTACATGCTATTAACTAATCAAGGAAATGTCTGACAACTAAGATACCATTCAGTCAAGGCAGCTGCTTTCTCGCCTTCAGGCGATTAAATTATTACAGTTGACATGGATGATTCAAGCTGAAAGCCTGGGATTTGAGAATGGTAAAAAGTATTACTGAGTGGATGATACTGAATAGAAAATGTAAAGTTAGACAATTATATATTAGCCTGTTGCGTAGGCTACCTTTGCGAGTAATAGGGCGAAGAGCTGTGATGCCAATCACTTTGAAATTGTCACTCTCTGAAACAAGAGTCTCGCATTGCTTTCCTGATAGATCATTCCAGGTACACACTTTTACTGGTGAATCAGTGCTGAGAGTAGGTACACAGAGTGAGAGTGGAACTATTATAGCTATGGTAATACTGCAGTGACAATGAATTTATGTAAGGCATATTTGCATGTACCTATGATCTATAACCATCAAGTCGCATACAGATGATTCTTTGTTCAGGGTTGTCACAATCTTCCTTGGTTCATCTGCAACATACAGCACAATAACTAGGATATCTACAAGAGAAAAGTATTTATGAGTAAATTGCAGCATACAAAGTGGATATAGTCACTTAGAAACATGTATTATTTTCTGTGTAAATCTTGCTTACCATGTCTAACATCATCAGTAGAAACTCTAGGTACAGAAGCAAGAGATTGATATCTAGGAAACACTTGTTCTCCTTCAGGTTTTGAAGACTGGATAAGGGTTCTGCTTCCTATAGTCATCTGAAATGGCAGATCTGATTCTTTAGCTCTGTATTGCGCATCTAGTGGCCTTATTAAAGCATTAGCAATGTCATAGTTTCCTCTAAACAGGATTACATCCTTGTATGCATCAATTTGATCACCAAATAATGTCATTTTCATGCGATTTTCTACAAAAACCACAAAAGAATAGGTCTATGTTTGGTTATCTATTGTGATAAGCTGTAACTCATAAATGGCATGCATAAATCATACCTTATCATCCTGTAGAATGAGATACTGGTACAATATCTTTTTCTCAGACTCTTGCTTTCTACCTTTTTCTACAATGTGTACCTTAACCTTGTAAGACTTACTTGATGTATCAAGCTCGTCGAGAAATTTTCGTTGTGGTGCCATAACACTATATTCTGGAAATCAGAATGAAAAGATTGATTAAGTTTGGATTTTAGAAACAAATTATTATAACTTATTAGGTGCTATGACTCGCATGTATAAATGTGTACATATAGATGCTTAGTTTTTAGAGTAAGTAGCTAATTAAACTCTATGTTGTTGTTATGCTGATATCATTTAAGACTAAACTGTATTTATTGTTATGCTTGAAAATAAGTAGGGTGCATATTGCTTTTGTATCTTTGGTATTAAGTAGTTTATTCTTGTAGCTCAACTCACTTTTTGAATTCAAAATTTGATTTAAAGATGTTTGGTTTATTATAGGGAACTTACCTGTATAACAACTCATTATAACCCAAAAAGCCCAAAAACTCAGTATCTCAGTTTTAGGGATCTATGATCTGTTTTGTGTTAGTTGATATAATTGTGTACAACTCCTAAAAAGTAGATGTTACAAGAATCTAAAGAATGATATTGTATACTATGATGTATGTAGTATATTCTAGCCTGAAATGTTGTTTTCTGATTTGGTAAAGCTCACGTAGTGTAACAATTTACTGAGGGTACCATATCAAAGGCATATTTAGATGCTAATTGCACCAAGCAAACAATTTGGTTCTACTTAATGCTAATTTCACTATAAGATCAAATTCAGTGTAATAGCCATTAAGCGCTGAAAAGAGATAGCTTACTCATTTATGTCTACAGAAGCCTATTATAAGTTGATAGAGCACATAAGAGCAGAAAGAAAACCATTTTAAATCCTGATGCTTAGTTAATCAACTAAGCCTATAAGACTATAATACTTAGTAGTTTTCTAGTGTGATGTGCATATACTGATCTACCATTTAATTAAAAGGGTCTGATTAGGTAAATACAGAGGGATAGAATCAAGTAGAATACCAGCCATATTCATATTAATTAACATGGTGAACAAACTTGTAATTTTTATCATCAACAGGAATCTATGCATGCTATAAGTAAATTACATACAGACCAATAATGACTTTTTTTGCTGCATGATGCCTAAAGCTGTTTGAATATTAAATGCTAGCACACATGAAATCTATTATGCATTTTCAGCGAGCAATAACTGCAAATTAAACTCAACTCAGAAATTGAATAAGAGTCAACATACTGAAGTAGTGCATAGGCTGAACATACCTGTCCAAGATTAGAAGATTTAATGTTTATGTGTGAGAATATGACCTTCTTTTTTACCCTTAGGTTTTTTGTTTTGGCCTTTTTTCTTTAGTTTTTCTGGTGGTGATGCATACATTGCCTAGATAATGAAGCGCATGGGAAAGCAGTAAGACCTACTGTTTTTATTTATACTATAATATGAGTGAGCATATAAAATAACTAAAGAATATTAAAATAAAAGCAAAAAGCAAGAATTCAAACTTACTGTTGTTGTAACAGTAGTCTGTTGTATTTCTTTGCATAAAATCAGTAACCTTACTTGTAAAATAGGGAACTGTATATATTAGAGATGTATAGGATGTACTTTCATAATATCTAAATATAGATTTGCAAATGCATCTTCATATCTTTTAGTCTGCATATATGTTCCTATATAATATTTCTTATTGTACTGCTGTTCTATCTAAATTAAGGCTAGTCAAGTGTTATAATTTGTAAATTTCTTTGTGCTATGGCTTAAAATGATATTGAACTAACTGTTTGTGTCATATGCATTACATGTATAACAATAGACCATATCTTGTGCATGTGGTTTGTATTTTCTTTATTTTCTAGGAACATATTTTCTCCTCAAATTCTTCTCTTCCATTAGTTCTGTGTCTTGGGCAGTGGTAGCTAAACCAAAGTACCCCCCTTATATTATTTAAAATAAAGGAAAAGCATATAATTTATTTTCCTGTTTTTTATCAGATTTGTTGCTAATTTTTGTATTTGTCAAATTCTTACTCTATAATTACAATGCTTTTGTGTTCAGTATTTTAAGCAAACACAAATAATGTATCCAAGGCATTACAAACTACATAAAACAAAAAGCAATCACATCAGTCTATTTGCCTGCTTACTATATACATATATATATATATATATATATATATATAATGCAGGCTGATCATGATAGGTTGTTGTTTATACAGCACATATAAGAAGTTTACTCATTATAGATATTGTTTGGTTCACTGTCTTCGGCATACGCATGAGGGAGAGCCCAAAAGCCAAGCTGCTACTGTATGGCTCTGTGATCACCAAAAAATGCTTCCAGCACTATACACAAAACCCAACAGGCATTAGAAGATCTTAAAGTTGATTGTATACCAGAATCTTTAAAAAAAAGTTCAAAAATTGCTTAATAGCATACCATATCTTAACTAATACTTAGATTGTTGTTTAGTGAACTATGCCATACTGAAAAAGGATGTTAGTTGACTGAAAAGGCTAACCTGCAGAAGAGAACCAATTCTACAATTAATCAATTACAGAAAAGTATCTAGTTGGATGAGTTAATATAAAAATGGACCACAAAACTTGAATGGACTATTATAAGAAGAAGTGCTAAGAAAAAAAGCACTCACTGATGTAGCTAGATGATGCCAGCCATACAAAGAATATCATAGGATACCACATTCAGATCTAACCGATCAGCATCCACATCAGTTATAACACTTACATTTGCTGCTTCTCGAGCCCTAGACAGGGCAACATACAATTGAACATGTGAAAAACATGATCGTGGAAGATAGACAACAACTTTATTAAGCGTTTTCCCTTGAGCTTTATTGATGGTCATTGCAAAACTCAGCTTTAAAGGAAACTGTTTACGCTGAAACTGAAAAGGATAAGCTGAAGACTCTGATGGTCTTAGATTAATTCTTTGTATCAATACATGCTCTCCTTTATGATGGCCAACAGCAATTACACATTCAATGAGATTTGGGAAGAACTTTTTGCATATCAGCCTTGTCCCATTGCAAAGACCTGATGATGGTAAGATGTTACGCAATAATATAACTGGACTGTTGACTTTCAATAACAGTTCATGAGGACTCATGCCGCCAGGACAGAGTTTATTTAAAAATTCTGTAGGATATATGGAGCAATTATCGTCAATCATGGAATCATAACTCTTGTAGGCTACAACTTCACCCGGAAATTTTGCTATTAGGATTTCATTAATAATATCTACATCATCATTGATTGGTGTGAGTATAGCTCTAGTGGTGAATATATTAGCATCAAATGGAGGCATATCCATTTCTGGAAAAGCAACTGATTTCAGTTGCATATCCTGACCTACGGCAGCATCATAAGGCTGTACAATTGCTGGTGGAAGCTGAACAAGAGCATTTTCACTGTTCTGCAACTGTCCATTTCCTAATGCTAGCAAAAAGGCTGCATAGGTTGGATCTTGTCTAGCCCGAATATTCTCTGTTAATCTAAATTTAATTAACAGAGGCCACAAAACAGAACTGACCAGGCTAGCAGCAACTGCTTCGCGTTGTGTTCTTTTTGGGACAACCGGAAGAACTTGCCTGAAATCTCCTCCAAAGACAACAATTTTCCCTCCAAATAAGAGTTCAGGGTTACAAATATCCCTTAGCAACACATCAAGTGATTCGACATTTTCTTTTTTGGCCATTGAAGCTTCATCCCAAATGATGAGGGTTGTTTCTCTTAGTAGTGCAGCTAGACTGCCTTGTTTAGGCACATTACAAGCAAGTGATTCAAGAGGATCGAGCGATATTTTAAACCGAGAATGAGCAGTCCTTCCCGAGGGAATATTGGCTGCAGCTATGCCAGATGTTGCAGTTGGCAAAACAATCTTATTCATGAGCCTTATTTCAGCATATAAAGCATTATATAAAAAGGTCTTTCCTGTTCCACCAGGACCATCTATGAAAAATGCTCCATGTTTTTGCCTTTTAACGTGATCCATTATAACATTAAATGCCTCTCGTTGAGCTTGATTAAGCTGACTCTTGCATTGTAAACACTAGTCTGGTATTGGAGCATTCAGTGCATCTTCAATATCCTTTGTTCTTCGTATTTCATCATCATCAGGCTGAACTAAATGGTCTAAGCCATATGCAGCAAGAGAGCTGCCCATCGATTCTAGAAACCACTCAACTGATCTGACAGTGAGTTGCCTTACTTTTTGTGGATCAGAAGTATATTTGTGTCTAAAATCCTCGGACAAAAAACTATAGTATTTCATCTAGAGAGAAACAGGATTGCTGGGTTGGCAAAAGATCAGTACTGTGGCAAAGAGTTTGCGAACTGCAATTGGCATTTGAACTGCACAACCTTCTTTCAAACATAAATCGACTGAATCATCTTCTTCCAATAGCCTGAGTTTGAGTGCAACTTGCTGAAATGTAGCACATAAATGACCATTGACTGTTCGCAGATCTTCAAATGACCTGGGACTTATGACATTGTGGAGTAACAATCTAAGATAGTATCTTTCTCCTTCTGAAGGTCCAACAAAAGCCAGTCTACCAATGACTATTTTTTTTATTTTGCCTTTTATACCAATGTTTGCTGCCTGCATCCCAGCGATAGTGCTCACAAAACTCATTGTATAACCAGCCTGTTCCAGATGGTAACCTACAGTTCATGCGGAAAAATTCTGTAAGGCAAGTTCTTGAACGTTTGTCATCTGAAACAACCGATGTCAGCTGCTCATGGGGTCTTAACTGTATAACCTGTGAATTGGGTAAGTGTACAGGGAGAGGCAAAAATGGTGGATGCATTTCATATAAATCAAACCCAAAAAGGCGCCAGGCAGCTTCACATGGAGAAACCCAGCGACCTGATTGATATTGCTGTATTTCATCATGAATGGCCACAACATCTTTAGATTGCACAATATTGAAAGATATCTTGTCATGACCCTTATAAACATATTTGTATAGATACTTCACTGCCTCTATAGTGGAACAGACTTCAACATTTAGGTGGCAATCAAAATATGCTGACAAATATGGATTATATGGAATGACCCATTGATTATCCATGACTGTCTTTCAAATTGTAACAGTTTCTCCTTTATCTCTTCTCCGATACAATGGATAGCCATCATTGCTATTTCTTGTTTCATCACAAAATTGTTTTGGATACCCATACTTACAATGACCATGACTTCCCTTATGTTTCATGCAAGGACACTCTGGATTCAAATGACCACATGGACCATGCATCATATGCTTCAGAATAATTGTCCTAAGATGATTGCAGATGGTATTTCAGCACAAACAAATTTGTCAAAGTCAGCAGGGCATTTGATTTTATAGTCCTGATTCAAAATTATCAGGAAATGAGCATGAGGTAGGCCTCTTTTCTGAAATTTGATAACATAGATCATTGCTGCTACGTCCCCAAAGATCTTTTTCTTTTTAATCAAGTGCTTTAAAGCAAGAACTTTTGCTCTAAAGATCCTTGCAACAATATCTAGCCTGTCTTGTGCCTTTTCTCCAACAGCAAGCTCTTGTTTAATTTCAGGCCAATTAGCATTGCAGGTCATTGTAATGAATAGATCGGGTTTGCCAAATCGCTGAACCAAAGCCATTGCATTTAAGTACCTCTTCTTAAGATCTCGAGGACCACCAATGAATGTCGGAGGCAGTATAACCTTTCGCCCCACATTTGCTGCACAATTCTCACCGCAGTCAATAGTATCCAGGATTCCTTGATACAGATCTGCTCTTATAGTCTGCTGATTTCTACGGAAAAAATCCAAACGTGTATTCTCAACTTTGACATACATATCCACTATGTATTGTTGGAGGCATCTTCCTCCTCTTAGCAACATGTTATTAGGTCTGCACTGCAGCTTGTATGCATAGTATTCCCTGGCTGAAATGTTCCTATTTGTCTTTGACGAGCCTCCACTTGCACCTGAAAATGCACAAATTTTTTCAAATTTAAAAGAATCGGAAAAATAGTTCACAACAGAAGACTGAAAATTCCATGGTAGAACATAACCAAGCATATCAGCCTAGCCCTTTTTAATAGTAGTTTTTCTGCTTTTGTTCTTACTATATTTTCATTTCCTACATTCAAGGATAATCTAAGTGTTAAAAGATATAGAATGTACATACGCCTTGCTTCCTCTTCTAGCAGCTCTTCAGTAGTATGAACACTACACGAAGAAACAGGGTCAGTCTGTGATCGCAGCTGTTGTATTCCACCTCGAGACATCTTCTTTAAACCTTGTGTCCACCCACATTCACCGTATGGAAAAAGGAGCGGATATTGTAAAGGATCATAGCAACCATAATAATGCATTATTCTATGACACGAACTCTGTTTAGGTACACTATAACTTGACCCATCTCCTAGTAATTCATTTTCAGCTAAATCATCATGTGGTATATCATGCTGAGATGTATTTTTTTTTTGCCGTCACCAAAATATGGGGACTTTTTGATTCACTGGAAGATGTACCTTCTGGCCATATGACAGCAACTTCATCAGTTGAGGGAGCATTATAAACACGCTGATCTGGCACAGTTGTTTTATTTATTAAAATCTGTGTAGATTCAGTCACCTGAATCTCTCTTAGTGAACGAAAGAATCTAGCATAAGGATTTAGTTTAGTAATTTCCATCAGAATAGCTAGCACATCTTTCCTGAGCTTTGGAAAGCAGCCAAGTCTTTTTTGGGCCTCAAGTTCTCCATCATAGAAATAGAGTTGCATGTACTTAGGTCCTTCCTTTCCAGGAAGTAAATAGGGAATATAATGATATAGCTGACCATGTAGCTTAAATACATATATCCCCTTTTTAGTCTTAGCATCAAATTTCCCGCCCAATGATGTAAATGCAAACATGTTGTTATATAAGCGTATATACTGCCTAAAATGTTTTTCATCTTCGTCCATAGAAGTGAGCAATCTCACAAGTTGTTCAGGGCATTCGTTTGCTGCAATCTTAACCTCACCATCAGCACAACAGAAGTGAGGCGTTTCAAAAGCAAATTTACGTGCCCCACACTTGGGACACTCAGTTGGAGAAGGAAGTTCATAGGGTGTTGTAGGTAAGTTATTGCCAACTGCTGCATCAGGGATCCCTGTTTAGTAAAACACATTTGTAAAATAATGAAACATATAGATCTTAGTTAAAATGAGAGATACAAATGTTGAATGCATTTATATGTATATTGAAATGATATCCATAGATATTCAGTGTCATATAAGGTATGACATAGCCTGCATTACTTGTAATGGGACGCTTGGGTTTAGGTATTTTGGGACGCTTTGCAGCTGGCAGACTCTGCATCCTAGCAAAACAGAAGTAGCAAAACATGTAACTATTCCATTAGATGCTTTTCTATGCATACATAGCCTCTATTGCAGAAATTAAATGATATTTCTAAGATAGAACAGCTCCATGGCTGCAAAGATTCATCGAAACACATTTCAATATGTAAATATACCTTTGCATTTCATCTTGAGAGCCATATTCTAAACTCTTAAGCCGTGTAGTTTTATATCCTTTTGAAGATGATGGCTCTCGTAATAACCGATCTACACCATGATTTTCAAAACACACAGCTCAGGATAACTACCTTAGATGGTATATCCATCTATAATAAAGATAAAACGCATGTTCCAGGACATACTCATAGCTGAACAGGCAAGGACTTTAACAGCTATCGCACGATAATTCCATAGTATGAGCAACTGTACTACATAGATCCTGGGTACTAACAAATATATAATATAGTAGATAGTTAGCCAATAGCATTTCTATCAATCTAATAAACACACAGCATTGAACAGCACATGCATAATATAATAGATAGTTAGCCAATAGCATTGCTAGCAATCTAATAAACACAAAACATTGAACAGCACATACATATATTCTGCATATCTCAAAAATCAACAGAATAGGCTCAACAATAAACATACATAAAAACTTTAGCCAAGTCCATTCTATTATCACATCAAATATATATTTATTATACAAATACATAAGATCAGAAATACTTGTCACAAAAGATGCCATACACAATGTCACTTAATACAGCCCTGATATTATCCTGGTAAATAACAGATAGTCCTATGATAATTCTAGTACTAAGGAACTAACCCAGCTACAAAAATAAACAAAAGAGCTAGGTAACACAACTACTGCAACACCACCCTTCTGCATTACACTAATAGGATCTAATTTTTCCTAGCACCACGCTTTGCTCGCTTAAAACACTTAGCCAAATCTTCTGGAACTGGAAAGACAGAAACCATCTCACAGCCAGATTCTGCAGAAGGAGATGTTTCAGCATATATGTGTCTTAAAAGCCGCTTCTTAGGAGGCAAAGCAGGTGGAATAGACACGGGCACCTGAAATTCCTGCCCAAGTGGAGTAAGACAATCCTGCTCAATAAGAACAGTGGAAGGTTCCAACTCCTGTTTAATTCCCAGCACGCGTTCTTTGACACCTACATAGCTTCCCTCTCTAAGGTACATAAGATGGCATCAAACCTAGCTGCTGTGACCTTATAATTGGCATCAACTATGACAAGGTTAAAGACATCACTAAGATAGTCGATAGCCTTTCTAGCCAGGCTTTGCTTAGCTGCAACTGCAGTTCGGCAGCGATCACTAAATAAACACCGAAAGCCTATTCCTTCTTTATGAGGCATGACAGTAAACCAGCAAGTATACTCGTCAGGAGAATGTTCAATTGTTTCAATCGGAGTGCACCTTATCTCAACAGTCTTAAAGATGGCCCTTAAAATGACAACAAAATCCACAACAATCTTCCTATAGTTATCCTCAGTTTCAAAATGAAGGTCTTCGTACATACACACCTTGCATTCCTCCTTCTCAATGCGCTCTAGATCTTCCTTCTTCAACCAAAACAGCTGACCACAACGATCATACATTTGTTTCCTTAAATAAGTCACATCCTCAACAACTATTTCATATTT